TAGATGTTGGTGGTGTTATTTGCCAATGATGACAGTTTTGTCTGTTCCCTTGTGGTATTAAAAGTTCTTATTTTTTCTTTCTTTACCTTAATGACAAACATTTAGTATTAGGTTACATGGCTTACTTTTAAAGTTTGACCCCAGTCCTTGGCCAGGTGGCTTATTTGGAACATTGGCCTGTATACCAAAAAGGTTGCAGGTTTGATCCCTGGTCAGGATGCTTATGGGAGGCAACTGATCCATGTTTCTCTCTCACATTGATCTTTCTCTCCCCACCCCCTTTCTCTCTCTCTAAATCAATAAACATATCCTTAGGTGAGGATTAAATAAATAAACAAACAAAGTTAGACCCCATATGAAATTTTATTTTTCTGCTCAGTGTCTAGCAGAATTATATTTGCATCTTTATTTTATTTTATATTTTAAAATATGTTTTTATTGAATTTTATAGAGAGAGGAAGGGAGAGGGATAGAAAGAATGAAACATCAATGAGAGGGAAACTGCCTCCTGCACACCCCCTACTGGAGATCAAATCTGCAACCCAGACATGTGCCCTGACTAAAAATCCAACTGGTGACCTCTTGGTTCCTGGGTCAACACCCAACCTTTGAGCCACACCAGCCGGGCTATAATTTGCATCTTTAGAATGGTTAGGTAGCTATCTCAATTCTTGTTATTAAATGTATATTTTCCTTCCGAGTTGTAGAACTGTTGTGTTCATTCAGCAAAGCCTGTTTTGAGTGCTTGTGATACGGCTGGTACTGTTAGGCATTGGAAGTGTGGTATTGAATAGAACAGAGTTCTGACACTCATGGACATTTCATTCCAGTTGAAGAGACAGATTGATAAAACAATAGGTAACTATGCAAAGTCTTTAAAGGGGAACATCTTCGGTGTGTTTATGAAAGGGCAGTACAGCAGGGCCGTGGTGTGGAAGGAGGAGTGTGCTCATACATGACCTCGGAGGGAACCCGGACAGCCACATCACGTAGGCCGTGGAGGATTTTTTCTAGGTGTGATGAGTAGCCACTGAGAGGAAGGACAAGTGACCTGATTTAATTTAAGGTTTTAAATTATCATTAATAATTGTTCGGAGAGCCTATAGGCCAGTGAGAGTGGAAACGGAGGCCACTAATTGCAGTATCATCAGTGGTTAAGAATGCATTGCTATGGAGCTAGAGCCATTAAATTTGGGCATAGCCATTATCTTCTCTGAGCTTCACTTTTTCAAATGTAAATAGAGATAGTAATACGAGTGTCTCTTACATACTAAATACTCAGTAAAGGTGAGTTACATAATTCCCAGTTGTAATAGTAACAAAAACCTATGGTGACATTAGGCTGTTGACAGTGTAACACAGTGTAACCGGAACATGTCTTGAAGGTAGAGCTGACAGGATTTGCTGATGTGATATATGAGGCATGAGAGAGAGGAATCGAAAATTATGAAGCCGAGCTACTTGGGTGATTGGTGTCACTCTTTACTGAGATAGGAAACACTGGAGAAAGAGCAAGTGTGGAATCAGATTTGGTTTTTGACATGTTAACTTTGAAATGCTTGTTTGAATCCAAATGGAGCTGTTGGGTAGACAGTTAAATATGAGTTACCAGTAGACAGGTAGGGAGTGGAGGAATTTGGGTCAATAACAGTATAAATGTCAAGAGACTGGGTGAGATTGCCCAGGGAATGAGCCTTTGTGTGTGGAGGGAGGCTTTGTGCCCAAGCCCTGGGCACTCTACCATTTAGAGGTCAACAAAGAGGAAGCGGAACCAGCAGAAGGAAAAATATGGGAGAAGTTTTAGGAGAGTGTTATGTCCAAAGAAGCCAACGAGAAAACGATCACTTGTCTCATGGGCATGTGACAGATGCTGTCTGCCTCTACTGTGTGTGCAGCGCCAAGCAGTCACCCTGGGACCTTGCTGGATGGACATCTGTTAGTTCACTTCGGAAAGTCTTGTTGTACTGATTAGGGTCAGGCCCACCATGGACAGGTTGCAGATCAGCTCAGGCGCTCACACCTCCACTCCACGCTCTTCTAGGTTTCAAACTGCATTGAGTTCATTCAGTACAGGGGATACTGGAGAGGTAAAACAGTGAAGTCGGTGACATTTTGGCAATACTTTGCATTTTGGTGTTTGTTCCCGATCAACCTGCTGTTAGGATTTTTTTTTCCTTTCTAAAATATATTTTTATTGATTTCAGAGAGGGAGAGATATAGAAACATCAATGGTGAGAGAGAATCATTGAATGACTGCTTCCTGCATGCTCCCTACTGGGGATTGAGCTGCAACCTGGGCATATGTTCTGCCGGGAATTGAACCGTGATCTCATGGTTCATAGGTCGACACTCAACCACTGACCCACACCGGCTGGGCGTGTTATGTATTTTTAACCCATTGTACGCCATAAGCATCTGTAGATGCAAGCAGTGGACCTTCCCCACATGCCACGTGCGCCTATAAAAAAAATGTTTTCCCTAAGTGGCAGCCTTGACCAACTTTAAAATTATTTTTTGTGAGAATTTTCAGCTGAAAACATTTAAGAACATCCGAATTGGAATATATTTATTTTTATAATATTCATTGCAAATTGATTTTTTTAATTAAATTCAAAATATTGTGGCGTGTGGAGATGGTTTGCGTTTTGGATGCATGATAGTTAACTGGTTAAGGAAACTCAAAATAGTTGTTCCATATATTATTTTCATGTTTTACATTTGCATTCAGTGAGTGGCATATTTCTAAATCATATATAGAACTGGAGCCCCTTGCTTGAGATTTTTTGTATGTTTTTAGTGAAAAGACAGGCTGTAATTTTTTTCTTACATTTTTCTTAGTTTGATTTGGCATGATAATTTTAATATCAGGGAAAATGGGTGGTAGAATGCCCTTTTTAAAATTCTGTGAAACAGGATTTTTGTTCATGATGGATGTTGTTATGTCTTTGATTTTGCTGTCAGCGTAATGCCTACTTCATAGAATGAGTTAGGATGTATTCCTTCCTCCAGTACATCCTGAAGATAGTATAGGATTAGTATTATTTCTTAAATGTTTAATAGAATTTATCAGTAAAGCCACCTGTAGCTGTTTGTCCTTTTTCACTTGTCCTTTAATTTTGGATAGATTTTTTTTTTTTTTTTTGCTATGTCTTTAAGGTCAGTTACCTTTGTTTTGCTATTTCTAATCAGATGTTAATCTTTCAAAGTGAATTTTTTATTAGATGTTATCTTTTTGTTGTTGAGTGGAAGGTAGGAAAAGAGGAAGAGAGGGGGAGAAAGTTAGATAGAGGGAGAGAAAAAATATTGATGTAAGAGAGACATCAATTGATTGCCTCCTGCTGGGAGGGAGCGAACCCGAAGCCCAGGTATGTGCCCTTGACTGGGAATTGAATCTGAGACCCTTAGGTGTGAGGGCTGATGCTCTAACCATCTAGCAACACTGGCCAATGCTGAGGTTATCTTTTAATGTACCTCTATGACTTCCATTTTGTTTATATTTAATATCTTCTATTTCTCTCATATTCATTTTCTATTACATTCTTGAGCATATGAGGCATATTGCTATAGCTGGTTTAATGTCCAGTCTTGTCCCTTTTATCATTTTTGTTGTTTTCTGTTTCTATTCTTTGATTTTTATTCTGATTATGACTGACTTTTTTTTTTTTTTGCTGCTTTGTAAAATTTTATTGGATTCCTCATATTGTGATTTTGTGGTTGCTAACAGCTAGATTTTATTGTAATGCTTTCGTAAGTGTTGAACTTTTTTTCTTGCCTGTCAGGGAAGTTAGTTGTGGATCATTTGGTTCTGTTGAGACTTACTCGTCAGCTCTTTTAGGTCTAGAATAGCATTTGTTAGCCCTACTCCTGAAGATGCGTTCCACTGTGGTCTCTACTGAATGCATAGTCAATGAGGTCTTTCTTAGCACTCTGTGAACTTTGGGGCTTGCTTGTATTGCAACTCGCCTATAGTTGTCCTTCTTCTGAAGGCGTTCTTGTTCAGCCTTATGGGGTTTTACAGCACAATTATACAGGTGCGTATGCAGATAAAAACTCACAGGTCACCTCCTGCAGGGTTCTGGAGAGCTCTTTCCACTACACAGCACAGCAGTTCTGTCCCATAATTTGTAACCTCTTCTAGCCTCCTGGACTGATGATTTGTCTCCCCTTTTCAGCACAACTGCCCGTCTCCGAGTGCCACTCTCTGGTGCAGTTTAAATTAACTCCTTGCAGCCAAAACCGGTTTGGCTCAGTGGATAGAGCGTCGGCCTGCGGACTGAAAGGTCCCAGGTTCGATTCTGGTCAAGGGCATGTACCTGGGTTGTGGGCATGTCCCCAGTAGGAGATGTGCAGGAGGCAGCTGATCGATGTTTCTCTCTCATCGATGTTTCTAACTCTCTATCTCTCTCCCTTCCTCTCTGTAAAAAATTAATAAAATATATTTTAAAAAAAATTAACTCCATGCAGACGGCTTTTGTGGTAGCAGAGCTCGCCTTGTTTATTTACCTTTGTTCAGGGACTCCAGTCCTGTCCCTGCCTGTTGTCCAGTGTCTGATAATGGCTGTTTCTTATATTTTTTTCTGGTTTTCTTGTTAATGGCTTGAGTGTAATTTTGAATATTCTTAATTCCATGTAACTTTAAGTAGAAGTCTCCTGTATTATTTTAGGAACTCAGATTAGTTTTTTTTTCTTTTTTTAAAAATATATTTTATTGATTTTTTACAGATAGGAAGGGAGAGGGATAGAGAGTTAGAAACATCGATGGGAAAGAAACATCGATCAGCTGCCTCCTGCACATCTCCTACTGGGGATGTGCCCGCAACCCAGGTACATGCCCTTGACCGGAATCGAACCTGGGACCTTTCAGTCCGCAGGCCGGCGCTCTATCCACTGAGCCAAACCGGCTTTGGCAGATTAGTTTTAATTTATAAGATTAATATGGACATTAAGTCTTTGAAATCTCATATTTAGTTCTGCCTCTTTCTCCCCTCCCCTCATGAAATTTGAAATGATGCTGTTTCGGCTGTTTGACTTTGTATGTTATATTGACAGATTTCTAATATTAAATCATGCTTGTATTTTGATTATATTTACTCATATTTTTAGGTTTTTGAAAATACGTTTTTGTTGATTTGTGAGAGAGGAATGGAGAGGGAGAGAAATATCTATGATTGTCTCCTACACCCCCCTACTGGGAATCGAGCCCACAACACGGGTATGTGCCCGATGGGGAATCGAACTCCAGGGACCATGTGGTGCATGGGATGATGCTCAACCAATTGAGCCACCCTGGTTCGGGCAATACTTCTTTTAATCTATATATTTTTTGCTATATTTATTAGGGTTTTGGTTCAGGTGTTTCTTTTTAATTGTATTTTTGGGGTAGAGATGACCTTTTGACAGTGTGCAATAATTCATTTATAAAACCCATTGGGACTTTGAACACTTTAGCTCTTAAAATTTTTTTTTCCTTTTTTTTTTTTTTTACCGCAGCATAGTATTCCATTGTGTATATGTACCACAGTTTTCTAATCCACTCATCTGCTGATGGGCACTTAGGCTGTTTCCAAATCTTAGCTATGGTGAATTGTGCTGCTATGAACATAGGGGTGCATTATATCCTTTCTGATTGGCGTTTCTGGTTTCTTGGGATATATTCCTAATAGTGGGATCACTGGGTCAAATGGGAGTTCCATTTTTTGTCTTCTGAGGTAGCTCCATACTGTTCTCCACAGTGGCTGCACCAGTCTGCATTCCCACCAGCAGTGCAGAAGGGTTCCTTTTTCTCCGCATCCTCTCCAAGCTCTTAAAAATTCTTACTTAAAAATTATTATATCTCCTTTACTTGTTTTAATTGTTGAGTGTACTAAATAAGATTTAAATGGATTTCCTACTGTTTAAAACAGCCTTTTGCTTTATTTTTCCATATCAATGCTTTATTTCTTATTTTTTAATTCTTTTAATGCTTCTCAACTAAATACTGAGTTCATTTGTATTTTTTCTTTTTAAGTAATAATTTAATGTGCTGAAATCTGAATACTGCTTTGCCAGTTTCTAAGTTTTTAAAATATGTAATGTCATGTTTTTTATTTGTTTCAATTTTTTGACTCATTTCTATCCCTTATTTACAAGACATGAAAAAATTTAAAGACATTAGTTTTTTTTAATTGCTTCGGTCAAAGAATCCCATTTTACCACAACACTTTAAAAAAATGTTTTTATTGATTTTTAAAAGAGAGGAAGTGGGAGGGAGAAAGGAGAGAGAGAGAGAAACATCCATGAGAGAGAAACATCAACATCGACCAGCTGCCTCCTATACCACCTCTACCTCTCACTGGTGATCAAGCCCACAACCTGGGCATGTTCCTTGACTGGGAATCGAACCAGCAACCTTTTGGTGCATGAGTGGACGCTCAACCACTGAGCAACCCGATTGGGATACCACAGCTCTTATGTTTACTTCACTGAAGTGTTTATAAGTTAAATTTTATCACACTTGCAAGGTTGATATGACTAAATCTTGCTTACTACTTAGAAGTTTTTCTCTTCGAGTGGTTGACAGGGTGTGTATTGCTTTCTTAAAAATACACCTGTCTGCCGAAACCGGTTTGGCTCAGTGGATAGAGCGTCGGCCTGCGGACTGGGGGGTCCCGGGTTCGATTCCGGTCAAGGGCATGTACCTGGGTTGCGGGCACATCCCCAGTAGGAGATGTGCAGGAGGCAGCTGATCGATGTGTTCTCTCTCATCGATGTTTCTAACTCTCTATCTCTCTCCCTTCCTCTCTGTAAGAAATCAATAAAATATATTTAAAAAAAAATACACCTGTCTGGGCTTCACTCCTTAATATTAGATATAGTGGTATAACCTGGTGTATGAACTTTGAAAGGAACCCATTAGGTCAGCAGTTCTTAACCTGTGGGTCGCGACCCCTTTGGGGGTCGAACGACCCTTGCACAGGGGTCGCCTAAGACCATCGGAAAACACATATATAGTAATTACATATTGTTTACAGTAGCAAAATTACAGTTATGAAGTAGCCACGAAAATAATTTTATGGTTGGGGGTCACCACAACATGAGGAACTGTATTACAGGGTTGCGGCATTAGGAAGGTTGAGAACCACTGCATTGGGTGATCAAAGACCAAGACTGTAGACAGAGGGCAGCATCAGAAGATTAGCTAAACCAGGAACAAAGCCTAAAATGCAGAGTAATTGAGAAAGTGAGTTATGATGGCACAAACTTAGTAATCAGGGCCTGTCCTCACATGCAGGTGAAAGGCACATCAGGATTTGAGGGGGAAATGACTGTAAAGTATTATATTACTATTTAATATAGTAAAATGTTAGAAATGTTTATTTTGTGTACCTACAATTGGTGCTTTACATTGAGTTTAATTCTAAGCCTTAAAATTTAATATTTAACTATACATATATATTTATTTCTTTGTAGGCCTCGAAGTAGAGGAAAAACTACAGTGGAAGATGAAGACAGCATGGATGGTCTGGAGACAGCAGAAACAGAAAATATTGTGGAAACAGGTATTGGAACTTAATGAAAATGCATGTAAATAATTTGCACAATTAGCATTTGTTTGTATACTGATTTCTGAAATTTTCTGTACTGAAATAATTTGAGAAGTACAGTCCTGATTTAGTAGAAATTATTTAATATCTGTAGAGAAATGTTTTATTAAAGGAAATTAAAACTGGAATAAAGAGTAAGTCTAGGCCACTAGGATGACAGCTCATAGTATATTTCTGGGTTATGAACCTGTAGTGTGTGTTTAAAGCTGATTGTATGATTGTGTGTGGTGGGGAGAGTAAAAGTTCCATAGTAATACTGTGCAGTGCTAGGTTACAAGAGACCAAATGTATTCTAGTCTGTCTGCTGGACTGTTAGGTGTCTGCAAAAGGTAGAATAGAGTAGCTTTGCAGTTTCCAAAATTTACACAAGGTTGGTGGTTTTATAAGTTGTCAAAGGGATGAGGTCCCATGCTTTATTCAGAGGATGTTTGTGTGAGATGGTCTCTCACTGGCAATGTTTTTAGCAGCCGTTGAATAGAATTTAGATACAGTGTCAGGCTTTTTCTCTGAAATTGAATGCCTTCTTGATGCTTATAAAATGTCATGCAGTGTTTAGAGAAAAGTTAAAAAGTGCTATGTCTTTTAAATTATAATTTTCCATACAATATTTTTGGTGTCAAATGTGTTGCTATTATATAGTTACAATTCTTGGAAAGCTTTCAAATATTCTGCAAGTCTCATCTCTTTTTCCAGCAGGCTCTGGTCAGGTAGAGTGACAGAAGGGAAGCTTGGATGATCAGAATTCTGCATTTCACTTTTTGGTGGACATTTATCACCATATTACTTTAAACTTGGATTTATATAAGTTTTCCAGTTATTTTTTGTATGACTTTTCCCCCTTAATTTAATTTTTTCTGTACTGTATACAGTTATTTCATAGGTGAAAATCTTCAAAGTTCTAAGTGACATTTCAGAATGGCCCACAAGTCCCTCGGGTTGCACTGATTAGCAGCCTTCTGAGACCTCGCCCGCATTCTCTGACACTTGAGCACCTGCCTTCCTACTCTCCTCCGCTTTTCCCATTGCCAATTTTATTGAATTTTTTAATTTTTATTTAATTTTTTATTGATTTCAGAGAGGAAGAGAGATATAGAAACATCAGTGATGAGAGATAATCCTTGATCAGCTGCCTCCTACAAGCCCCACACTGGGGATAGAACTCACAACCCATGCAGGTGCCCTTGACCAGAATCGAACCCGGGACCTTTCAGTCTGCAGGCCGACGCTCTATCCACTAAGCCAAACGAGCTGGGGATCCCATTGCCAATTTAAAAACATATGTTTTTATTGATTTCAGAGAGAGAGAAAGGGAGATGGAGAGAGAGATAGAAACATCAATGAGAGAGAAACATGGACAGCTGCCCTTCTGGGGGTTGAGTCTGCAAACTGGGCATGTGCCTTCACCCAGAATCAAACTGGCAACCTTTCAGTGCTCGGGGCAATGCCCAACTAACTGAGCCCGCTGGCCAGGGCTCCTGTTGCCAATTTTTATAATCTATTCAATACCCAGACCCTTAGCTCCTTGATGCCATAAAACAGTGGTTCTCAACTTTCCTAAGGCTGCGACCCCTTAATACATTCCTCATATTGTGGTGACCCCCAATTTCATTGTTACAAATTGAACATAATTAAAGCATAGTGATTAATCACAAAAACAATAAGTAATTATATATGTGTTTTCTGATGGTCTTAGGCGACCCCTGTGAAAGGGTCGTTCGACCCCCAAAGGGATCGCGACCCACAGGTTGAGAACCTCTGCCCTAAAAAAAATCTTATTCTCCAGCCCATCCCAGCCACTTCTTCTTATGGTCATGCTTTTGCCTTTGTCATTGTATCACTTACTGTTTCACTTCCAAAATCTCACTTTCAACAATTGTTCCCTGTAAATACTTACTGCCTCTTCTTTTCCCAGCTCACTGTCTCCTAATGTCCACACCAGCCATGTCGAGTCCTCCAATCCGGTCATCTTACCAACACGGTTTGTTACCATCCTTTTCCAGGTCAGATTCTCTGACCTATCCCTGTAGTCATTCTCTTACGTACCCTCAATTCCTTTGCCATTCTCCCACTGCTTTGCCTTCATAACAAAACCCACATTCTGCATTTTTTGACAGGAAAACACCATAAACTTGCCAACTAGTTTCATTTTAAATTTATGACCTCAAATCACAAGAAGGTCATGATTGCTGCCCTCCACTCATCCCGCTTTTACTTAGACATTCTTTCTCCTGTTATCAGTGATGATTCTTGAACCACCTTCGCTCTTCTTCAACCTCCTAATATGTCCTCCCATTGTTTTCATTCTTCAGTCCATCATCTTGCTTATTACTTCAATGGAAAAAAATAGAAGCAACCAGGAAAGAAATTCCACATTCACTCCTGTCAAGTCTTTCCTGCTTGCATCTCTACCTATACATTCCACCGTCCCTGTTGCCAGAATGGGATGAAGTAAGGCTGATCTTACACTTGTGTCCTCGAGTCTGTCCCCTTGCATTTGTTACGGACCTTCAGTTTTCCTTGGCATCATGAATTCTTCTCCCGGTGGGTCATTACCATGAGCATTTGAGCACAAATAATTTCCCTTGATCAAATATCCCTTTTCAGTTTCTATATTGCTTCTTTGCTCATTTTTTATAGTAAACATTGCTGCAACTTATTTTTGACCATTTTCTCATGAACCTACTTCTGTCAGGTTTTCTTCCTCCTACTCTGCTGACATTGTTTTTGTCAATGTCACCAAGGATGTCATATTGCCATGCTCACCTTCACTACACAGTACTGTTTCCTGCAGCTAATCACCTTCAGTATTGGACCTTTAAAAAAAAAAAAGACTTTCAGGCCTGGCTAGTGTGGTACAGTGGTTGAGCACAGTGGTTGAGCATTGACCCATGAACCAGGAGGTCTCGGTTAGATTTCCAGTCAGGGCACATGCCAGAGTTTTGGGCTCGATCCCAAGTAGGGAGCATGTAGGAGGCAGCTGATCAATGATGCTTTCTCTCATCTTGATGTTTCTATCTCTCCCTCTCCCTTCCTCTTTGAAAACAATAAAAAAACACCCACCAAAACCCACACACCCCAAGACTTTCAGGATACCACATCCTCTTACCTTCTTCCTTCCTCTCTGGTCTCTCTTCACTCTGTTTTGCTCATTCTCCCATACATTAGGCGGTCTCATTCATTTTAGTTACTTTAAATATTATCTATTTGCTGGTGACTCTAAAAATTATATTATCATCTCTTTTCTTGCTTCGAACACAACCTATATCTTTAGCTTCCTTTTTATCTCTCCTAAAAAATTTTTTTTTTATTGAATTCAGAGAGAGGAAGGGAGAGGGAGAGAGGCACACATCAATGATGAGAGAGAGAATCACTGACCCACTGCCTCCTGCATGTCCCCCACTGGGGATCAAGCCCACAAACTTAGGCATGTGCTCTTGACCGGAATCGAACTTGGGAACCTTCAGTCCGCAGGCCAACGCTCTATCCGCTGAGCCAAACCGTCCAGGGTCTTACCATCTTTAATATGTGTAAAGAAGATCTCAAAGTTAATGTGTCCTCTGTGGAACTATTTATTATCATCCCAAAACCTTCTCTCTCAGTGTTTCCACCTCAGTAAATGACATCATGTGTTATTCAGGCTAAACATATAGTCATGGGCCACATAACAGTGTTTTGGTCAATGACAGACAGCACATAACAACAGTGGTCCCATAAGATTATGATGGCCCCATGATTAAACATTTTTTATTGATTTCAGAGAGGGTCCTGCATGCCCTCTACTGGGGACCGAACCCACAAACCAGACATGTGCCCTTGTCTGGAATCAAACCCGGGACCCTTCAGTCTGCAGGCTGATGCTCTATCCACGGAGCAAAACCAGCCAGGGCATGGCTCCATGATTAGAGTGTCAGCCTAGGGACCGAAGGGTTGTGTTTGATCCCTAGCCCTGGTTGGGGTGCGTGCAAGAGGCAACCAAAGAGAGTTAGAAACATCGATGAGAGAGAAACATTGATCAGCTGCCTCCTGCACATCTCCCACTGGGGATGTGCCCGCAACCCAGGTACATGCCCTTGACCGGAATCGAACCTGGGACCCTTCAGTCCGCCGGCCGATGCTCTATCCACTGAGCCAAACCAGTTTCGGCCCTTCTACTCTCTCTAAAAAAATCAACGGAAAAATAAAAACGATTATAATGGAGCCATGGCAGGGTATGACTCAGTTGGTTGAGCATTGTCCCCTGCACCAAGAGGGGGCTGGTTTGATTCCCAGTCAGGGCATATTCCTGGGTTGTGAGTTTGATCCCTGGTAGGGGGAGTGCAGGACGTAGCCAGATCGTGTGTTTTTTTAATTTTTATTTGTTTTTATTGATTTTAGAGAGTGAGGAAGGGAGAGGGAGAGAGAAATAGAAACATTGATGAGAAACATCAACATCTTTTGGCTGTTTCCTGCATGTACCCTGCTGGGGATCAAGCCTGCAACCCAGGCATGTGCCCTGACTAGGAATCTAACAGGTGACCTCTTGATGCATGGGTCCATGCTTAACCACTGAGCACACTGGCTGGACTGGATTGATGTTCTGCTCTTACATTGATCTCTCTCCTCAAATCTCTCCCCCCTCCCTTCCTCCTTCTAAAAATCAATTAAAAAATCTTAAGAAATAAAAATACAATCATGGGCCACATAACAGTGTTTTTGACAATGACACATGGCACATACAACAGTGGTCTCATAATATTATACGCTAGCTGAAAAATTCCTAATGTTCAGTGATGTCAGGGCCATCATAACGTTGTAGTGCAACAATTACTCGCATGTTGGGGTGACATGATATGAACACACCTACTGTGCCGTCGGTCGAATGAAAGTGTGCACATACAGTTACGGTAGTAGGCTCCACCCCCCAGGTTGGTGTAGGTGCATTCCTTGAGCTCACACAGTGAAGATGTTGCCTACGCACGCATTTCTCTTGTGCATTGTTAGGCAGCATGCGATTACTGTATGAAGCCCATTGGAAAGTCCTCTGGGTTTTACTCTCACAATATAGCCTTAGTTACAACACTGTCACCTCCTTCACTGCTGTCCCTCCAGTACTTGCCATCACCACTTCTCACGTGGAGGGCTGTAAGAACTTCCTAACTGCTCTCACAGCATTTACTATAGCCCCAATCTAGTCTTGTTCTTCACATAATAGCCAGAGTGATCTTTTCAAACCCAAAGTAAGAGTCTTCTCTTTCTCTTCTGTCAACCATCTAAAGCTTCCAGTGATATCCTACCTAATAAAAGAGAAACATGGTAATTAGCCATACGTCTGCTACCCTTCCCATTGGCTAATCAGGGTGATATGCAAATTAACTGCCAGCCAAGATGGCGGCCGGCAGCCAGGCAGCTTGACGCGAACATGAGGCTTGCTTGCTTCAGTGACGGAGGACTCCAGTGTTCCCCGCCTGCGG